CTGCCGTCCGTTCAGCGCCGGAAGAACCTGATCTACTCGCTGCCGACCAGCGGAGGAAAGACTCTGGTGGCCGAGATCCTGATCCTCAGAGAGCTGCTCTGCAGGAAGAAGGACGCTCTGTTCATCCTGCCGTACGTCTCTCTGGTGCAGGAGAAGGTAGGGAGGACAGGGACAGGAAAGGAGAAGGGAGGGAGGACAGGAGAAGGGAGGAAGGAGAAGGGAGGAGAGGAAGAGAAGGGTAGGGAGGAAGGGAGGAAGGAGAAGGGAGGGAGGACAGGAGAAGGAAGGGAGGACAGGAGAAGGGAGGGAGGACAGGAGAAGGTAGGGAGGACAGGGAGGACAGGAGAAGGGAGGGAGGACAGGAGGAGGGAGAAAGGGTAGGGAGGAAGGAGAGGGAGGAGACAGGAAGGGAGAAGGAGAAAGGGAGGGGAGGGGAAAGGAGAAGGGAGGGAGGAAAGGAGAAGGGAGGACAGGAGAAGGGAGGGAGGACAGGGAGGACAGGAGAAGGGAGAAGGGAGGGAGGACAGGAGAAGGAAGGGAGGACAGGAGAAGGGAGGGAGGACAGGAGAAGGAAGGGAGGACAGGAGAAGGGAGGGAGGACAGGAGAAGGTAGGGAGGACAAGAGAAGGGAGGACAGGAGAAGGGAGGGAGGACAAGAGAAGGGAGGACAGGAGAAGGGAGGGAGGAAGGAGAAGGTAGGGAGGAGGGAGGGAGGACAGGAGAAGGAAGGGAGGACAGGAGAAGGGAGGACAGGAGAAGGGAGGGAGGACAGGAGAAGGTAGGGAGGACAGGAGAAGGTAGGGAGGACAGGAGAAGGTAGGGAGGACAGGAGAAGGGAGGGAGGACAGGGAGGACAGGAGAAGGTAGGGAGGACAGGGAGGACAGGAGAAGGTAGGGAGGACAGGAGAAGGGAGGACAGGAGAAGGTAGGGAGGACAGGAGAAGGAGGGAGGACAGGAGAAGGTAGGGAGGACAGGAGAGGAGGGAGGGAGGAAGAGAAGGGAGGGAGGAGGAGAAGGAGGGAGGAGGAGGAGAAGGTAGGGAGGACAGAGAAGGGAGGGAGGAAGGAGAAGGTGAGGGAGGAAGGAGAAGGAGGGAGGACAGGAGAAGGGAGGGAGGAAAGGGAGGAGGGAGGGAGGAAAGGAGAGGGGAGGGAGGACAGGAGAAGGAAGGGAGGAAGGAGAAGGAAGGGAGGACAGGAGAAGGTAGGGAGGACAAGAGAAGGGAGGACAGGAGAAGGGAGGGAGGACAGGAGAAGGTAGGGAGGACAGGAGAAGGTAGGGAGGACAGGAGAAGGAGGGAGGACAGGAGAAGGGAGGGAGGACAGAGAAGGGTAGGGAGGACAGGAGAAGGTAGGGAGGACAGGAGAAGGGAGGGAGGACAGGAGAAGGTAGGACAGGAGAAGGGAGGGAGGACAGGAGAAGGTAGGACAGGAGAAGGGAGGGAGGACAGGAGAAGGTAGGGAGGAGAAGGGAGGTAGGGAGAGAGAAGGGAGGGAGGACAGGAGAAGGTAGGACAGGAGAAGGGAGGGAGGACAGGAGAAGGTAGGACAGGAGAAGGAGGAGGAAGGAAGGTAGGACAGGAGAAGGGAGGGAGGACAGGAGAAGGGAGGGAGGACAGGAGAAGAGAAGGTAGGGAGGAATAAATAAATAAGTTAATATTAAAAAAAAAAAAATCTGAAATATAATTTAATTAAATTATATAATCTATAATAAAAAAAATTATTAAGTTAAATATCGAATTAAAATTACATAAAACATGGTATAAGTAAATGTTGAAAATGTAAAGAGGAATAAAAAAGTATAGTTTAATAAAAAATAAATATTCATGAAAAGAAAAAGTTTTTAAGTCGACTTTAAGACAAGGACACAAAGTGCTGATTCCAGAGTTGAAGGCTCTCCCCTGCGTTTCTCTATTGACTCCATATGGAGGATCACATGGTGTCATCTGCACAGAAACGTTTGTTGCAGTTGGTAGAAATTATGATATCGCAGTAAATAGAAGAGGACCAGGATTAGAGCCCTGTGGGACGCCTGTCCTCTAAAACCCTCTCTTCTCCTCCCTCTTTGACCTCCTTCCTGTCTCCTCTGAAGGTGCGAGGGTTGGCGAGCTTCGGCGTGGAGCTGGACTTCCTGGTGGAGGAGTACGCCGGCAGTAAAGGAAGGTTCCCCCCCCGTAAAGAGGAAAGACAGGAGGTCTCTTTACGTCGCGACGATAGAAAAAGCCCACAGCCTCGTGAACTCGCTGATCGAGAACCAGAGGATCGACGACCTGGGGCTGGTGGTGGTGGACGAGGTGGGGAGGAAGGCTGGTGGTCAACTCTGAAATAACAACTTTAATCTCAAAGTATATCAATGTTTGTTTATCATACATGTAATCTGAAATCTCAGACGTTTTTTTTACGTTAATAATCCACTTTATTTCAGAAGATATTGTGTGATTTCCCCCTAAATTTCCGACTTCAATCTAAAAAAATATTTGAATTTTTCTCCTAAATTTACAATTTTAACCTCAAAGAATATTAATCTTAAATCTCAGAGTTTTTACAGAATCTTTTCAACTTTTTCTCAGATATTATCAAAGGTCTTTTCTAGTGCATCTGTGAGTTTATTTTTGTAAATATTCCACTTTATTTCTGAAAATATCTGAAGTAATTTTCCACCAGATTCACGACTTTAATCTCAAAATGTCCTTGTTTTAAAAAAGAATACATTTTAGACTAAAATCTTAAATATGACAATTTGTATCCAGAACATTATTCAATTTTTTGTTTTATTGTTTTCTAGTAAAATGGCGATTTATGTCCCTAAAATGTCCCTTTTTTATTCTGAACAGATATCGACATTTTCCCTCAAAATGTACCACTTTAATCTTCTTACATTTTCTTAATTAATTTACAACATTATACTTGGTTATTCTGTTCTCTGAATGCACCGCCCTACCTGGCGTTTACATGTTTCCTCTGTGTTGCAGCTTCACATGTTGGGCGACGGCAGCAGAGGAGCGATCATTGAGATGACGCTCGCTAAAGTTCTCTACACGGCCAGTAAGAGACGCTTTAATCTTCCTTATTAAACCCTTAAAAAGCTTTGAATTAACCGTCTTTTTGTTTTTATTCTCCAGAATCCACTCAGATTATCGGGATGAGCGCCACGCTGGGAAACATTAAAGACCTGCAGACGTTTTTAAGAGCAGAAAACTACAGCAATGACTTCCGGCCTGTAAGGGATTTACTGTGAAATACTGATATTAATGAATATACCACCAACAGGTGTTTAAAGAAGCTGGTCTGTGGTGTGTTCAGGTGCAGCTGAAGGAGTACGTTAAACTGCAAGACACCATCTATGAAGTAGACCCAAAGGAGGAGGACTGCTTCAAATTCTCTCGTCTCCTCAACTTCAAGGTACGGACAATATTCACATATTGTTGATGCTTTTATTTTGAAAACTCCGTCAGTACATATTGTTGATGCTTTTATTTTGAAACTCCGTCAGTACATATTGTTGATGCTTTTATTTTGAAACTCCGTCAGTACATATTGTTGATGCTTTTATTTTGAAACTCCGTCAGTACATATTGTTGATGCTTTTATTTTGAAACTCCGTCAGTACATATTGTTGATGCTTTTATTTTGTAACTCCGTCAGTACATATTGTTGATGCTTTTATTTTGTAAATCCGTCAGAACATATTGTTGATGCTTTTATTTTGAAACAACGTCAGTACATATTGTTGATGCTTTTATTTTGAAACTCCGTCAGTACATATATTTGATTCTTTTATTTTGAAATTCCGTCAGTAAATATTGTTGATGCTTTTATTTTGAAACTCCGTCAGTACACATTTTGTATGCTTTTATTTTGATACTCCGTCAGTACACATTTGTTATGCTTTTATTTTGAAACTCCGTCAGTACATATTGTTGATGCTTTTATTTTGAAACTCCGTCACTATATATTGTTGATGCTTTTATTTTGAAACAACGTCAGTACATATTGTTGATGCTTTTATTTTGAAACTCCGTCAGTACATATATTTGATGCTTTTATTTTGAAATTCCGTCAGTAAATATTGTTGATGCTTTTATTTTGAAACTCCGTCAGTACACATTTTGTATGCTTTTATTTTGATACTCCGTCAGTACACATTTTTTATGCTTTTATTTTGAAACTCCGTCAGTACATATTGTTGATGCTTTTATTTTGAAACTCCGTCAGTACATATTGTTGATGCTTTTATTTTGAAACTCCGTCAGTATATATTGTTAAAGCTTTTATTTTGAAACTCCAGTACTCCAGCTCCATGCAGAAGCTGGACCCGGACCACATCATCGCCATGGTGACCGAAGTCATCCCAAAACACTCCTGTCTGGTTTTCTGCCCCACGAAGAAGAACTGTGAGAATGTGGGAGCGCTGATCTGCAGATACCTCAGGAAGTGAGTGGGTGTATATCTATTTATATTTATTATTATTTAATACATTATTATTATTTACATTTTTATAGTTATTTTATTCATTTATTTATATTTAAAATATTTATTAGTTATTACCTTTTCTGATTGTATTCTTTATAAAGAGAGAGAGTGAGTGAGGGGTGCAGGGCGAGTGACGTGACTTACAAAATATGAACAAAATGTAATATGTAAAAAAAAAAAATTTATATAAATGCAAAAAGTACAAATGTATAATAAAAAAAATAAAAATCAAGGTAGAATATAAAAAGTAAATAGAATACAAATATTTATATAAAGCATAAAAAGGAAAAAAAGTGCAATAAAAAGATAAAATAGAATAAAAACTATTATTTATATATTTTACAGAGTCAAAATCCCCTCTGATTGGTTCTTCCTCCTCTCTGATTCCTCCTCCTCTCTAATTGCCACCTCCTCCTTTCTGATTGGCTCCTCAGGGACTTCCTGCTCCTCCACGAGCAGCAGAAGCTCCTCCTCCTCTCCCAGCTGGAGAGGTGTGTAGTGTGATTCTGTGGAGTTTATTTATGGCATCCCGTTGGGTTTGACGTCATCTGAACAGGACATCGCACGCTCACTGCTTGATAGCGCGCGAAGGTCCGTTTACGCCGGTTGTTAAACAACATCGTTACGGGGAAATGCAAGTCTGCGTCCAAATGGTTGGAAGATAAGGAGGAAGGACAATCAATACTGAATATAGTCAATGTGAGGTAAAGTGTGTCGCCAAGGTAACCGGTTTAAAACTCAAAGTGGCGATGAGGTCTTAAAATGTATGGAAAGGGTCTTAAAAGGTTTTACATGTGACTTCCTGCATAGACCCTGATCTGATATCATGCATCCAATGAAGCATTGCATGAAGTCTGTTGATCAGAGGCTTGGTTAGTTCAGACCATGCAGGCGGTCACCAAGGTTCATGTTTTAATAGCATAATTACAAAAGAAGCCCAGGCGAGCCTAACGTGTGAAACAATGGGCTATAAATACAGTCCATTTACCATTTTACTATCAATTCAATAGCAATATTAAAGTTTGAGTACTAAGTGTTGAAGCTGAAGAAATTAAACTGCATTTAATTTAAAGAAAACTCAAATTAGAGGGAAAAAAAACAACATTTATTGATTTTAGATTAGTAATAATCCTATCAGATGAGCGACTGATAACAAACACACAGCTTTAATAAACACATTTCACATTACTCCAGGTGTCTCCCACAGACGTGCGGGTCCTTCATGAACTCCGGGTGTTTGTGGGTGACCGACATGAAGCCTGCAGAGAAAAGACAAACACATACAATATATTTAAGGTTTTTAACTATTTAAAATTTGTTGAAATCTCATCTTCGAGTTTTCATACATTTCCAAGTTGAATCGCTTTTTTTCCCCTTTCTTACGATAATGTAGTTTTTCGTAAACTCACTTTTTTTATCTCAAAAAGAGTTTTTTCTCCTAAATATTTTACTAAAATCTCAGAATATTCAAGTTTTTTTTTAGTTTTTTTTTATAAATTGTACATACTTTGACTCAGAATAATATTATTTTTGTCAATTTTCTCCAAAAATATCAGGGATTTATTTTTCTTTTACTTTAATCTGAGAACATTAAAATATATTTTCTGTAAAAAAGAAATTCCCGTTAAATTTGTGAATGAATCTCAGAATATCCAAATGGATGGAAATGTACCACTTTTTAATGACGTTTTTCCTTTAATATGACCCCTCCTCTTCTGGCTCCTTAAGCTCCTAGTGTCGAAGGTCCCGTTTACACGGAGACGGAACGGGTTGTATCTGCTACTTTTCTCTATCGTATAGACGGTTCGTTCACACGAGGCCGTAACGGAAACGCGGTAACGGAGCCCTCAAACGATAATGGGTCCCAAGGCGGACGGAACGGCTCCGTGTGTACGTCCTATACGCCTCTCCCCACCTCTGCTGCTCATCCCCGCGTCACCCGCGTCATTGCTGATGTGTTTCGCCAACAACAACAACAACAATGGCAGATCACAGGGTTGCGTTCGTGCTCCAGACGCTACTGACCATGCTACAGATGTTAGTGCAAACTCTACAGCTCCTCGACCACAACCATCAGCAACAAGTGGACATGGAGAACTACATGAACTCCATGTTGCTAAATCCACCGCGGGGAATAAACAGAAGGGCAACCATGGCAACCATGCTCGGGGGTCTTCTTCGCTGCTTTTGGTGTATTTTGTGGCGGAAGTACAGCGCCACTTACAGGCCCGGCATATGTACTACAGCGCCTCCAGCGGTCTTGTGTGGACGGAAGACTTTTTTGATATCGACTAAGGTTAGTTTTCGTTTTCGTTTCCATGTAAACAGGGCCTAAACCCCTATTTCAAAAAGGTCAGCGTGAGGAAGACGTACCCAAAGCGTGAGATTTCTTCACGGCTTTGGCCACTTCCTTCTGTTTCCTGGAACATAATCCTGAAACACAAAGCAGCGTTAAATCAGAGTTGAATCTTCACTGAGGAGATATTCCAGATCCAGGTGTCTCTCACGTGTGATGTGGCGTCCGTAGATCCGTCCGGTGTACGGAGAGATGAACTGAGACAGCAGCTGACAGGAAACACACAGATCAGGGTTTAGCACTTTGGGATTACTTTTAGCAATGAAAGGTGCTTTACAAATACAATCTACTATTATTATTATCACAGCGACACTCAGACACTTCCTGTGACCTTTGGAGCTCCACTTGTTCAAAAATACTAGATAAACCCCCTTAATGTTCAGTTTGATCTCACAGCTACAGGGTTAGGATGTTTGTACCACATAGTGCCGAATGCCGTGACCTTTAGACCGTGTGATGGGAATGTTCATATACCGCCATACCGTTGAAAAAGTGGCGAAGGATCTCGTGGATATTTCTCTCTTTAGACGTGGATATTCCCACAGTGGCTAAACAGATTTTCCCCGTTTGAAATGCATTTGAAACGTCCATCTCTCTTTAGAATTCTGCATTTTGAAGTGTAAGAAAAGACCTCAGACATTTTTAATAATGACACTAGATATATGAGGAGTTCAGGACCATGGACACATATACACCCTCCTGTAAACCCACCTTTACCTACACACCCCTACACACACTGACACACTCATTACCCACACTGACACACACTCATTACCCACACTCACACACTTATTACCCACACTCACACTCATTACCCACACTGACACACACATACCCACACTGACACACACATTACCCCACACTGACACACACATTACCCACACTGACACACACACACACACACTTATTACCCACACACACACACACTTATTACCCACACTGACACGCACTTATTACCCACACTGACAAACACACACTGACACACACTCATTACCCACACTCACTTATTACCCACACACACACACACTCAGGTGCTTTATTTACCTGAGTGTTCTTGAAGTCTACAGTCACATTGCAGAGCAGGCATCCTTTCTGAGGCTCTTTGTAGGGGTTTTCCATCTTAATGAGCTGTAAAAAGAATACACAAATATATTAATCTAATCCTGTTATTACTGATGTAATAATTATTCATAAATAAATAAAAATTACCCACCCTGTCCTCGTTTGGTTGGACTACATTTGAGGTTGTTGTGAGACTTCTTAAACCTGCAGAAAAAGGATTATTATTATATAAAATGACATCAACAACAGCTCATATGTTAGCATTAGCATTAGCAACACGTAGCTTAACTCCACCTAATAAACACATATTAACGGTTAGTTTTACATTTAATGAATGCTATATCATTATAACACTTAATACAGGTGTTATAAAGTCTCACCTGTGTTTCCTTGTTGTAATAAAACCGTTCTTATTCTCGTTAAACCTCTGAGGACGAGCATTTTGACCTGACACACGACCGGAAGATGTCCACCAGACGGGAACTCCGGGTTCTTCACTGAGTCAACTATTAGTTCCTACCACCTATTTAACTGATTACTTGTTGGTTAAGAGCCAAATTACGCATATTATATATCTGTGTTGCTGAGTATAAAAATAATATGAAATGTATGGTTTTGTGTGCTTATGAATATTTAATATTACGTTTATTTTTGTATTATTTTAGGAACAGATTCAATGTTACCCCCGTTTCAAAGATAAAAAATAACAGCACAAGATAGAAATCACCCCAGAAAACGACCATCGTAATCAACATTACGTATGGATTTTCTCACATTTAACCCACCTTTTTAAACACTTTTGTATTTGTAATACAAACTACAAAGGGAGATTTTAAAAAAGCTGATGATTATATGAGTGAAATATCTAATCTAATATCTAAATATCGGCTTTCCTTTGTGGGTGACTTTTCAACCGGAAACTGAATGAATGTTCCAATTGCTAACATGTACTTCTCAGGAAGATAGGCTATACAGTGACAGAAAATACAGCAGATAACACATGTCTGCTATGTGGCGGTAATCAGCTTGGTTTTCGGGTAATTCATCGAACGTTTTCTATAGATGAATTACTACATTTGGGAAGCTATCCCGGTTAGCGCTGCTAGCTCCGACAACCGAAGCCGGAAGTGACGCAGGGATTCCTCTCTTGCTCTGACGTTGGATTTGTTCTTCACAAATTCAAACGTGATTCTTGCGGAGCTGTTGACGTTTAAAAACAGAAGCAATACAAGAAAACGCTTTTTTTGGCAGACTTTCTTTACGTTTTCACCGGAGTTTGAGGTGATTTAAAAGGTTTTAGGAGACTGTTAATGTCGCGGAAGGAACACATCAGAGAACAAACTGCCAGGAGTAAGAAAACCGCTTTACTAGCTAACGTGTAATGGGCTTTAAAGTGCTTTTTTCTTGATCTAAACATTATCTAATTTAGGTTTGAAGTATTCAATGTGTACAGGTGTGTGTAGCAGAGCCTCAGCTGTGTTCCTAGTGTAGTTGTTTGTGTTTATTTGAGGTTTTATTGACATGTAGACATCGAGACATCAGAATCAAACGGGTCTCGTCCAGGAAGAGATCTCGCGATAGCTCACAGATGACACCTGAGAGGAAGAGAGGACCTGAGAAATGTCCTCCGATCTGCAGGCTGAGCAGCATCATGGCAGAACAACAACAACAACCTGCTGCAGAGGTAGGACAGATGAACAGCTGGATGATCAGCTTTAAGGGTTATTTATGTTGTTGTTTTCACATCAAAACAATAATTATGATTCTTTTTTTTCTTTTTTTTAAATGCTGTTGTCTGCATTTTGTAAAATGTGCATGCATTAAGTTAAGATGACGTTTGTATCGTTTTATTTGTATTGATTCCCAGCTGTTGTTGGTTGTAAACAACTATTTATCTAATATATCATATTCCAATTACTTGTATATAGACTATTCTTGCACTATTTATATTCTATTCTATTTTATTTTTATTGACTTACACTATTTTATCTGTGTTATTGTGTTGCTCTGTTGGAGGAGGAGCCTGAGACCTCAGATGTTCATTGATATATCTCCACTGTGGCTCTGAACACATGATGATAAAAGCCTTGAATCTTGTGTTCAGTTGTT